GATGTGACTAAAGACTATAGTTGGGAAAACATCCATTTAAGATTTTGCAATTGGAAGCAACAGTAGAATGAATGAGAAAAGGAAAAGATGGATGGTTTCAATAAGATGAGGGACATGGGACTTCAAGGTCACAACGTTTGAAAGCAAATCTTCCCACTTCATGGCCAAGAAATTAGAATGACAGATCCTCCCAGTCTATTTTCTATGAACTCTTATCTGGAACCTTCAGGTGACATCTTACAGTTATATCAAACCAGCAATTTATATGACTGCTCATCTCACAACAGGACTGACCAGTTCCTGAGTGCAGTTTTCTTGTGGGCCTTCTTTTGCTCCGAAAACAGATTCTTGACCACCTTATTTACCAGAAATATAACCTGATGCTGAAAATGATGCAGAAACACAATGAAACTATCCTCAGAGAAAGATGCCCTTGGATTCGGTATTCACTGTGGAAGCCAACAGCTCATAGACTGGGTCCACCCAGCCCAGTGAGACATGTTTATTGAATACATCTCAATTTGTTCAAAGGACCTAAATTATACATGATGTTTGTGACACGTTTTAGGCTATAATTTAATGTATTTTTATACAACTTTTTAAAGAAAACCATCTCAACAAAATTTATGAAGTACAGTATGTGTAACAATAAATTAAAAACAAACACATACTAAAAAGGGAAGGAAAAATAAGCAGAGAAACAGATTTTAAAAAGCCATCTGTTCAACAACTCACCATTTGGCTGCAGGGGTATCGGTGAGGGGGGTGAAAAAAGTCAAGAGGGTGGCTGGGACAATAGCCACCCAGATTTCTTTCTGGGTTCAGAACAGCCTGTTAACCCAAAATCACACCAGTCAGATGATGTGGCTTGATAAAGCAACCCATCTTCATTCTTAAAGCTTTGAAATAAAATCTTTTCAGATGAAAGCCTAAAATATGCATTTTAGGGGGGGGGGTAGGGAGAATGACAGAATTGTTTCAAATGTGGGGAACTTCTGTTTGAAGTTCAGCAGGTGATTCCTACCACTGAACTGCGGTGTGTGACTTCTTGCTTGCTTCTCAGAATCTTCACTGAGACAAGAAGAAAATGGAAACCTGGTTGACCAGGTGCTTTTGACGTAGTGCCTGAGGGATGTGTGTGTGTGAGAGAGAAAAGAAACAACAACTCACAGTTAGTGAGCCAGTGCCTAAACCCTTACAAGTTCTTGGAAATACACAAATGGGAATTGTTGGCTCAGTTGCAAAAGAATGTTTTTGGACAATAAGGAAAGCCAACTGCTTGGCTGAGAAGCCTAAACAGCATACCTAATGAGAAAACTGCTTCTTAAGAGCAAACAGGGTAATTAGCAGTCCTATTTTCTTCCAAAGCTAAAAATTAATCCCATCATTTACATGGTGGACTCTTTATTTTTTTTTTCCCTGGGCTTCCTTGCTCCCTAACAGTAAGCATCTTGAAACAACTTTGTCTCGCTGTTTCCATGATGTGAATTTCTCCATCCAGAAGGCAGCAGATCCATCTAACAGAAGTTTTAAACAGTTTTAAAAAAGAAGTTTGGAGACAACACTATTGTTTTGGCACAAATATGAAGAAGAAAATATATGTCTCCTTGCTTGGAGAATACAGTGTGCTCAGCCTTGAGATAGATATTTTAAGATTAATTTACCTAACTAAAACTTACACTTCCTGCAGCCAGAAGTATTTAGATCAGTGTTTCTCAACCTTAGCAACTTTAAGATGAGTGGACTTCAGCTGGGGAACTCTGGGAGTTGAAGTCCACTCATCTTAAAGTTGCTAAGGTTGAGAAACACTGATTTAGATGAATCCAGTGAGCCCGCAGTTGGAAGACTGGCTAGACTTGGAATTTCCATTAAATGAGATCCCTCTTGGTAGGTCAGTTCTGACTCCTTGATGGAACCTCCATGTTCAGGGGCAGAATGCCAAAGAAAAAAGGTCCTGCTCAACATGGAGCATGAAACTTGAGAGACTCAAGAATTATATGTTCTTCTGAGTCAATAAGGAATTTCCTCTTCAAATGCTGCCCCTTCAAAGGTCCTTAGAGGATGGTCCTTAAGTTCACACTTTGCACTAAACTATAATTAGTTTGGTTTTCCCATGGCATGTTGTATTCACTCAACCACACACTATAGTTACTTTGCTGTGAACTCAATCATTGTGGCTTATTCAACAAACCCCAGTAAAAACAAGCTTTGGTATAGTGTGGAACCAGTTCTACATGTGGAAATCTTTTAAAAATTAGTGAGAAGCATTTTAATGAATTATGTTCTCCTCCATTACTCTAAGTCAACCCCGCTGAGAAGTCTGGCATGGGTGGTCTATTGAAACGAAAAAACCTGTGAGCTCTTTTAAAGACAGAACTTAGTTTTTGCAGTAGCAAAATTGCAGTTAGCCATGGTGTGTCTTGGAGTGAGCTTGTAAGACAGTTCTGCAAGATGGAAAATCTTGAGGGCACTCCCTTGTCCCTTATCCTTGACCAAAGCTAGCTGGCCCACCACCTGCCCACCTAGGAACATTTCTAGGTCAGAAGGTCTGCCTGAGCCCTGGAAAGACATGGTTACGGTTCCAGTTTTTGTAAAGAGAATCCCATTTGGGTCAGATGCCAGCGGACTCTGAGGAAATGGGTTAGATAATCTGCCAAGATGGCAGCTGTGACCATCTGATGGCAGCCCCACCTCTTTATTTTTACATGAGGTATGTTGAAAGGGGGCAGAGCTTTGATTGCATCTTGACTGGACCTCCCTGTCCCATCTGACTCCTTTGGGAAACATAGGTGGTGGGGAAGGGCCAGACCCAGGTAGTAGTCAATGCCTTGTTGAGGGAGAGGGTAATTAATAATGGAGCCTTTATTACATTCAGTGACCAAGTTTAAATGCAGTTCCCTGACAAGTCTTACAAAATCTGGGGAAAAGTCTAGGCACAAAATAAGAAAAAGTAGCTAAAATACTGTAAGGGTGGAAATACTAAGATGTAGAACAAGATTTAAGACCTTTAAAAGAACTTAAATTAAATACAACCCTATTACTGAATGCTAAGCTACTAGAATACTTGTAAGAGAGCAATTCAAGAGCACTCATTCCTCTGCTGGAAATCTGTCTTTGTTCAGGGGAGTTGAATTAGTTGCCCATATTCTTCAGCAGTTTTAGAGGAGAGGGTTACGCTTTCGCCTTTTGAAGAGACCCTCTCTGGATCTGGCCAAAGTTGAGAATATTTGCCTGGTCCTCAGCCTTCCTTTATGGTGAAGATTGTTGAGAGTGTAGTGGGATTCTATCTAGGGATCGCCCTACAGCAAATTAATCATATGGATCCTTTTCAGCCAGGATTCACATCTGCATTAGCTACCCTCATGGATGATTTGGGTTAGGACCTGGATGGGGGAAGGCCCCCCTCCTGGTCCTGTCAGATCTCTTAGCAGCCTTCAGTACTATTAACCATGGTATCCTTCACGATCTCCTGCAAGAGTTGGGAGTTGGGGATGCTATACTGCGGACACTTTCCTCAGTGGGTGGTATCAGATCACCCAGGCAGCTGCTCTTTGGGGGTGGAGGGCTGTGGGGTTCATCTTTCTCCCCCCATTATGTAACATCTCTATAAAACTTCTAAGGGAGAAGCTTATCTACCATTGGTTCAGAGTGCAGTACACTCACTCTACTGATATCCACTTGTACAGCATTACCCTGGGTAAGGCTGGGGCCATCGTGGACATCCTGCCTGGTGTCTGTGGCCTCTTAGAGTCAGGATGGGAAGAATCCTTGCAAGCTGGAGATTCTGGAAAATTTCCTGCCCCAGTGATAATTCTGGATAAGGAGTTACTTCCTCTAAAAGATCAGGGCTGTGATTTGAGAGTCTAGATAGGGAGGTGGAAGTTGTATTTTGGGGGCTTTGTCTAGCTGAAGCAAGTGTATCAGTTGTTGCTGTTCCTTCAATGTCCTGGCAACACTTTTATCCATGGCCTGCCACCTCTCAAATAGACTACTGCAATGTGCTTTACATGGGGCTGCCTTTGAAGACTACCCAGAAACTGCCATTGATGCAGAATGCAGCAGCTGGCCTGCTGGTGATTGTAAATGGCCAGGGCCATATAACACTGGTGTTGTGAGTGCCACACTTCCTTCCAATAGGTGCCCAAGTACAGTTTAAAGTATTGCTTTTAACCAGTCAAGCTCTTTGTGGCTTGACATCTTCAGGACCACCTTCTTCAGGTAGACCCAGCCCACCCAGTTTATATATCTTGAAAAGAATGCTGAGAATGTTAAAGCAGGGGAGGGGGGATGATAGCATGATGTTTCTCCAGGTATGCCCCAATGTTAGAAAGCAGCTTAGCTCTGCAGGTTCAACAGTGTCCTCTGACAGCCTTTCAGAGGGCAGTTTAGGCTGAGCTGTTCCGCAGAGCTTTTAACAGACAGGAAGTAAGGAAGGTGTTCATCTGTTGCAGGTTGGAGTAGGTTAGTTTTATAACATTTTTATGGGTTTTATGTAGCTTTGTAAAGCAAGATGTGATCAGTCTGTGTCAAGTTGGTGGTATAAAAGTGCCGTAAGTACATCAATAAACGTAGAGCAAGCTGGTTATGAGAATGAAGGCATGGAAAGGACACAAATATGCCGCCACTTGACTCAAAACCTGGTCTGCGATCTGCTACCAACCGCGTCTCAGAATGCTTAAAAATTTCTCTCTTTCAGTTACAAGCCCCAGAAACCTAAGTTGACGGTATGTTTCTAAAAAGAAAGATAGATGTGGTTCTCCATACAGGCTTCTATTCACATTTGTTGACCCAGTGAGTCTTTAGAGACTTCCCGCCAAAGGCCGCTTCTTCGATTAGATCTCAAGCTTCCAATGATATTTTATTTATCACATTTGTATCTCAGCTTTTTTCAAAGAAACTCGGGAGAGTTTTAAATTAGGCTGTGCCATTTTGTCCCTATGCATCTGTAGAGATTTATTACATTAAAGAGAAGAAGAAGGGGGAAAAAAAAGAGAGAGAGATTACAGTGCTTGAAATTCTTTATTGTACGATGTATTCAAGTATAAATCTCTGACTGGCACATCATTAACCATGATTTCGGCCACTATGAAAATGACAAGCAAAATGTTGGCAAGAAAGAAGACAAGCATCTAAATTAATGACTGGCAAGAGCACCTGCAGTTTTGAAGTGAACAGGAATGGCTCGAGATGAAGATTACCAGGAACGCCCCCCTCGAAAAAGAAACTTTGGCGGGGGGTCTGATGGCAAACTGGGAGCTGGAATGGGCACCAAGGAGCAGAATCTGGGCCGCTGTAAAGAGAAAAGCATTGCCCGTCCCACTCTTAGTCCTTATGGGGCACTTTCTGCTTTGGAATTCAGGTCTGCTTAAGGCAGGCCTGTGTTAATGCACAGCGAAACGCAGGTGGCAAATTCAGAAGGAAGAGACATAATTCAATATGCCTGGCTACTTGCTCTGAAGCTGGGAGCTAATTCTAAACTGAAGGTTTTTATGACTTTATACCTGGGGCCGAAGGAGGAGAATTTAGGGAAGAGGGTATCAGGTGCCATAGTTATGCTTTTCCCTGGTATGGTGCCTCCAGATGTTTTGGACTTCAACTCAAACAGAATCCCCAGCTGACGTGGCTGAGGGATTCTGAGAATTAAATTCCAATGTATCTGGAAGACACCTCATGGGGGAAGTTTGATAGCATGGGTAATTTCTTCCCCTAGGAGTTATATGGAGCAACAACAATCCACAACAATCAAATATATCATCTGTAGAACAATTTCAAAGAATCCATTTGTAGAACTGAGGCATCAGCATTACAGAAATAAAGATAAAGGATGGTGGTTTCAATATCCTTCATCACCAACCCTTGTGCACAAGGTGGCCCTTCCTTCCCTATCTTGCTAGAAATGCCAACAGTCCTCTGCAGGGTCCATCGCTATCCTTGTTTCTCAAAAGGAAAGGTTTCACAACATGCGAGAAGCTGACATCATCAGGAAGTCTTCATAGCTGATCCGTGCACTGCCCGTCATGCCAGTATCCTTCTCCCGGAAGGCTTCGGTCATGCTCTGGAGGAGAGTGCAGATCTGGATGAAGCGGTCCAACTGGATGCCAGGATTGGAAGCCTTCTGTGAATAACGGGACAGCAGCAGCTGGGAAAACTGGGGGCTCAAATTGTATCCCATTTGGCAAAGAGCTAGAAGGAAGGCAACAGAAATGTGATGGAGAAATGTGGCAAGGTTGGGCTGAAACCAATTAAACAGGCACCCAAGAGTTAATTTTTTTCCCCGATCAGTAATTCATTGCAGAAAAGCTAAGAAGCCATTAAGAAAGAATTCTAGTGACTGCTATGAATCAAAAGCGAGTCCTATTTACGGTGAAATCAAAGTTCATATTTTTGTAGATCTTTCTTTCTTCTGCCTGAACTATGCCGTGGCCTAGATCGCCCTCTCTTTTGGGAGAGGGCAGAAGCCTCATTGTGGGACTGCCTGTGCCCAATGGTTTCTGCCTGTCTCACTAGATCTGGCAAAGTGGGCATACCCCAGGTCCTATCAATGAAGCAGTGTCTCTGGTGGCCCCAGGAGGGATACCTTGACTGTCATGGCACCCCCCTCGAGATATTGACCACCCAAACCCTATTAGCCATTCAGAAGGCTAGAAAGACTTGGGTCTTCTCCCAGACATTGAGGCTAGGATGTTGATCAAGCTCTGGCATGATTTTATTTGATATGTTGATAATGTAATTTTTAGAGGCCTCAAGCCAGATTCTTTTGAATTGGATTTGTATAGTTTATTATGTTTTATTTCTGGGTAGTCTTAGGTAGATGGGAGACTATACAAATTTGTTAAATAAACAAGTAATACTTCTCTTGTCTTGGCAATAGATAGATTGGATATCAGATAGTATTACTCTGACAGTGTGAGAACTAACTGTAATGGGGAAAGACCTTGGGAGACAGGGCAAAGAGATGCTGCCTAGGGAACAGTCAGATAAGAGACTGTATAGCCCACAGCCAGATAGTGGGCAGAGCAAGAGGCTCAGAAGGGACCCTCCCTAGCTTCTCAGGCTGTAAAGGAGATGGCGGAAGATTTGTACTTTCAGACTTGCAAGATTCTCTTAATGTAGCCTTACAATAAAGTAGAATTAGCTCATCTGATCGTGTTTCCTGTCTGGTCTACCTGGGAAGACTTACACTAACTCTCACATAACCCACACTTAATCCCTGGGTAGAAATCCATCAAGCTGATGACTCAAATGCTTGGTGACAGAGTGACATGACTGGTATCTCTACATAACCTGTAGCCAAGCATTCCAACATGGAAGAACTATGTAACAGGATTCTGTAAAACTGAGTTTTCTCACAATTCTTCCTTCTTTTTCCATCTTCTCCTCTGGCTGGACCCATAGCTGCCACTCTTGCTGACCCAGTTCTTTCTCTGCCTCCAAGCTCAGCCATTACTCCAAGGAGTCCTACATCTACCTTAGGGGCATGGCTTTCTGATCAATTGAATCAGACTGGCAGAAGAAGCTGTCTTATCATTAAATTACCGGTCCAACAGCTCAGTATTATTCTGATTGCCAGAGACTCAGTAGGTTTTTAAATGCCACGAATTGAACCCTGGGATCTTGTTCAGTGCAAAGCATTGTGGGATTGAGCCAGGCCCATAACAACTATGGAGCATCTGGGGTGAGCCAGAGGTAGATCCAGCCTTGGAGCAGAATTCTGGCTGAGGAACCATGGAAGACATAGAATCTGCCCTCAGATTGCCAGCACAGCTCTCAGAAATCCAACCCGTGGGGAATGTCATTTCTGCATGTTAAAGCCAAAATCAATGGAGAATGTAGCCACCTCCAACCCCAATGTCTCACCTTGGTGCAGTTCGTTACAGTTAATGCTTCCTGAATGGTCCCGATCGAACTGCTGGAACAGACTCCGCCACTGTTGTATAAAACGCCACAAGGCTGAAAACCCATAGAGATCCATCCGACCAGACTTGCTTTTATCAAACATGTCTGTGAAGACAGAAAGGCAAGAGTTGGGGCACCAAATGGTGATGTGGCATTGCCTATGTAGTAATTATTTTCCCCCAGCCAAAAACTGAAGGGGAGATGAGTGTCATACCACTTTTGCTGTTCAATCAAGTCTAAAGATTTTCACAAGGTTCCAAAATCTTGCCCCATCTATTTAACCCAGGAAAAAGTGGGAGGGGAAAAAAAGTCAAAGGCAAAAAAGCCCCCGTGTACCATTCTGAACACACTTAAAACCTATCTTCTGCCTCCAAGTTTATCCTGTTCCTTAAAATGCCATCTGTATATCAGTCTGACAGCAAGAGCAAGAACAGAGGGACTTGGCTGAAATTGGGAAAACGATTCTCCCTGCAACTTGCCACAGGCAATGGTAGAGTATCTTTTGGAAGCCATGTTTGTCTTTTAACCTGATTTACTGGTTTAGATACTGGGGAAGATATATATGCATGCAGACTTGTAGCTCCTATTTCTGTTTCAAATTACCAGCCATAGAACAACAGTGGAGAAAAACTCCAGTCCTCCTTCCTTTATATGGCGAAAGAAAAATGTGCTGTTGCAAGGAGGAGCTCCTTTGAGGGAAGGAAGCATCAAAGTCCATGAACTTCAAGCATAATTATGTAGTCATGATTATCCTTAGCATTTAATTATGACTAATTTGCAACGTTCGATACCCGCTGCATATATTATGTGCAGGTAACACACATTATTTCTATATTGCAAATTAATGTTGCTGAGGCAGAGAGAAGAGTGGATTGCAACCCCAAGAGAAAAGGGTCAAGGGAGTCTCCCAATTCACCTGGGTCATTCCACTATACTGCTGCTCTCTTTTCTATTACATGCTAAGCAGCCTATTACACTTGTTTCCTTTACTATTTCATGGATCTCCAGCTTTCAGATCTTCCAAAGGAGGAGATATTGAAGGAGCTGGAAACTTTAGCTCTAGGAAAAGATAATGGAGAGGGATAAGAGAACAAGCTTCAAAGACCTGAAGGGACATCATTCAGACAAAGGGCAAGGCTGAAGTCATCCCAGTGTACAGGACACAGAATAATGGTCACAAATTACAGGAAGGCAGTTTCTGGTTGAATGCTAGGGAAAAAATGCCCTAATGGTAAAAGCTAGGGCTGTGCAACTCTTCAAAGAAGGGGTTTGCTTTGATGAAAATTTGAAACTTCCTTTGAAATGGCTTCATGAAGCAACATGAGCCTTTGCCTCTAAAAATGAAGAGAACAACCATGCTGCTTTATTTTGCAGCCTCTCATTTAATTAATTAATTAATCAATATGCTGCCCATCTCCCCCAGAGAGTGACTCTCATCAACCTCCTCTGGCACTTGCAACAGCCAATCTTTTCTTGCCAATCTGCAGAACCTGCACAGAAGCTCCCTTCTGCTGGAGAAGGCGGGGGTCTCCTTGCAGTTTTCTCCAGCAGCACTTGCCAAAAACAGAATCTCCTCCAGCAATTAAATCTGGTCAGAAGACCCTGCCAGCTTTCACAAGTGACAAAGGTAAGAGGCGGCATGAAATGCTGCACTGAGACACAGCCTGTTGCTTCTTTGCTTCAACAAAAAGAATCAGGCATGCCACTGAGCTAAATCTAAGCCAGTTTGCAGAACCTGAGTGAGAACATTTGGCCAATGGAAGCAAAGGCCTACAAGGGCAATGAACCCCTTTCTTGGATCTGTCCAGACAGAGGCTGGGTTGCTGCTGGTTGGAGATGCTCTAATTTGCATTCTTGTACCAAAGGGAAAAGAATTTGATGGCTTTATTGATCTCTTCCAACTCTAAGTGAGACGAATAAGTAGGAATTGACCAGCAGCTTAGATTCCTCCAGAATGATGTCTGAAAAGACTGGATACTCTAGCATGGATACAAAATAAAGATATATCATGTTGATTCAAGGAAATGCAAGTATAAGGGAAGCAGCAGATTCTATTTTGTTCATATCTAAATACAAGCACATTTTAAGAAAATATTGCGTGGAATCTTTCTGAAATGTCAAGCACGGGCACATTTTGTTTTCTGACAGCTACATCCTAGTACAGAATAGCTTTAGAGACTCTGACGGAGAATCAGATGCACTGCAGTTCCCAGCACGCTTTTCACACACACTGAGTATAAATTCTTTTAGCCTGAACTCACTCATCATCATCAAGCAAGTATCTTCGCTGAAAGCAGACCAATTGGAGTTGACAAGGGCCTGCCTGAGCTCCTTGGTCGAGATATATCCGCTGCGGTCAGCATCTACACTCTGGAACCAAGAGAAAGCTTCTGGGTCCACACCAGGGGGAACATGGCCTGCTTGGGAAAGAACAACATATAAAGAGCATATAAAGAGAACGGCAGTGCCTTCCACCAGAGCATGCCAAGCACCCACCAACATCGACAGTAAACATCTAGCAGGCTTCTGCCAACTGGAGCAGGTGAAATCAGAATCAACCTTGTCCTCATTTCCTGAGTCAGCATTTTTTCCCAAAAGGGGTGTGGGTGGATATGTAAAACATGAGTCCTGAGGAGGAAAGTTCACTCAGGCAATGGGATGCAAAATCTTGTAAAAACAGAAAGGAAATAAATGAGGTCTCTTCCAACAGTTTGTAATGTTGAATGCAGACACGGGGAAGGCACATTGCTTCAGCAGGATTCAAATGTTGTTCCATTTAGGAGGCATCTGCACAGCGGTAAAGTTTTATTTCCACCCGCCAGGAGGGCAACTGTGGTGCTTTTCAGTTCACACCTTGGAACCTTAAATAATGCAATAGGAATGTCTTTCTGAACCACTGGTCTAAATGGAGATGAATAATTCAATTAAGGACCGTTTCTCCAATTCTGCAAGACAAAACAGGCCCAAGGGCTCCAGGTGCACAATGAGCCCCATAAAATGATAGATGTCAAAGACAGATGGCTTGTTCCTTAATGTGTAGAGGGAGCCTTGGAGCCACAGACAAGCTTGACTCCTTTGGGAGACGGTTTTATCTCAAAGGCGATCAAAATGGGATGTCTGTAAAACAGAGGCACTATTCCAAAAATGCTTGCAAAATGTTGCAAGCCCAGAAAAAAATGCTACTTGACTCACAACCTCCCACATGGAGGCTTGTGGCTTATATGTGGAGGGAGAATTGAAATTCCAGTTTTCTGAAGTTTCTTAGCTGCCTACAGATTTGTAACTCTTGGTCGACACCAGAGGCTTGATGAGAGATGCTCCAAAGTAATGACAAACCAACAAGTGACAAAACACATCTCTCACTTCAGTGTGAAATTCCAGATTGGTGAGGTCTGGCGATCTCAGTTTTTGTAAAAGGGTGACAGAACACTGCAGTGGAAAAATGCAGATCTTGAGTGTCAAGATCAACCTCTTCCTAGGTTGACCTAGGAACCTAGGTGACAAACTTGATTTGAAATTTTCGCTAGCTAGAAAAAGAGTTGATACTGCAGCCAATGGGAAAAAAAAAAGATGGCTGGAAGAGCAATTCCAGATGAACCAGGAGACCCTGGTGCAACAATGCATGGCTTCCATCACATCATGACAGTTAAACTGAAGGCACATTCTCACCAAGCATCCTACCACTCACCTCCAGAACTGCCTGCCCCGTAGGGTCCAGGTTGGGGGGCACCATAGGGATTAGCAGGCTGCCCATATGGCCCTCCTGGGGCTGGGCCACCTCCATACATTCCACCAGAAGGGCCAGAGGAAGGGTATCCATAAGCTCCTCCACTGGATGGTGGTCCATATGGGCCTCCAGGCGCTGGGCCCCTATACGGCCCCCCAGCAGGCAGTCCACCTCCATACTGTCCTCCGGGGTACCCACCGTGGGGAGCTCCTGGAGCCTGTCCTGCAGACCCAGGGAAACCCTGTCAAGGAAGGAAGGGAGGAGCTGTGAAAGAGCAGACGATGAATCAGCACGGGCCTGGGCTTCTCACTCCTGTTTCTGAGAGTCCATGCACAGAAATTGGTGATACAAACAAACAAACAAGCAGTCATTGTGGAAAAGACACACATTACATGATTTGCATCATTTGCACGATGGCATCCTACTGCTGTGATTTCACTTGACCCCCTGCCAACTCTAGGAAAGGGTCGAGGAAGAGGGCTTTTTCTGCGGTGCCCCCCCCCCCCCGTGGAACAGCTTGCCCACTGAGGTGCGGGCTGCCCCCACTCTCCTGGCCTTCTGAAGAGATGTAAAAACATGGCTACGCCACATGGCCTGGGGGCCTGATGGGGGCTCGTATTGCTGGAACTGGCTCGTGGGATGATAGATACTGCTTCCCCCATCTTCTTGATTTGTATATTGCTTTTATAGATTTGTTATCTGTGTTTTAATTGGGA